GATAGGTTGAATATGATAAAAGGCGGCACTATCATTCATAGCAAGTACCGATCCCAGTAAACGTGGAATAAATAGCTCTACTAAGCGCAAAATCAAAAGGATTAGAGTGACCCTCGTGGTAGAGAAAATTTTATGCGCAAAAGCACCGTTAACTGAAATTAGAAAAAAACATTGAGCCTCTGCGCCCTGCAGGTGTGCATGGGGTTCCATTCTAACAACTTGTTACTCCAAGTTTATGGTAACTGGGTGAACGTAATCCAGCCAAATGACTAAGTCGGACATCGCGCAAAGCTATTTGAATACTTCTGTCAACCAAATCTAAGCCACTAACGTACGCACTGTTATGAAAGGTAGGAAAAGTCGGGTGATTTAATCAGTGGTTACAGTGGTTCATGCACTGAGCGAGCTACTTTGATTTTTAAAGCCAACACCAAAAAGTAGCTTCTCTGCTATCCGACACCATCGAAAATTTGTGCGATAATACTCTATCGCATGCGGTAGTTACGGAAATAACGGGAATTAGATAAGCTGTTAATAAAGGCACTTTAAGGCGGCTTTTCTATTTGCCGCGGAAATGGATTACACTTAAGTTCTGATCACTGATAATAACAAACATTTACTGTGAACAACCAAATAAAAGACATGGAGTATTCCTGTAAATTATGACTGTTGAAGCTATACTGCGCTGAAAATAGTCGTGTAACTGGTTTGTGAGCGTGCTAAATTGTGTAAGTAAATTCAATTTGTGACAATTTCGCGTGCGTTTCCTGGAGGCTCAATGTTCCCACGGCACGGGCTACGTGCTCGGTGGCTCAAAGTGTATGATGACCCATTGCTTGCGCTAAGGGATATATTCTGTAACGACAGAATTTATACCTTCAGCCTTGTTCAGTATATATTTAAATATGGGAAACAATTGTTTGAACGAACAGGAGTACTGCTTTGAGATGATCGAACAAGGATAAAGGCGGTGTTTGGACAATGCATGGCTAACAACGTGAAAGATCTAGTGTACATAGCTGCGAACGACTTATTATTATTACTACCTTATTATTACTACTACTACCTTATTATTACTACCCGCTGAACTAGTCGGACAATGAAGGAATTCGTAGGAAGGACTGGAGGACTACTGCAGCATGCGTGCGGTCGAGGGTGTCGCTGGACTCATTGTCCTAATAATAGATCCACGCTGCAGAATAAAACATATACTTCGTAGGCAGGCATAACGTATCATCACAGCTACATATAAACAGTCAAAGCAGGATAGTGGTTGCTCCTGACTTATGTGGGTGGGATGCCTAGTCACAGCTGAAAGAGAGGCAGGGGCTAGAGTTGCATGGAAGAATAGCCTGAACGCAAACCCGTAATGGCTGCTCTGACTACACGGGAACGATTAGGTAAAGCACGGCGAGAAGGAAACGTGAATCATTTATTTCAGATTGGACCACAACTTGCTGATGGCCATATTAGAGAAATTCAGTCGCGATAAATAACACACCTTGGCTCACTGAACTATCGCTAACATTAAGTAGGCAATGTATGCTAACCAAAAATAAGGCATTGGTTATTATGGTTAGCTACGTTTCTTTCCGTGAAGTGCAATTGTAGGCCGTACTGAAAAAATTGCGCTAAATTACTGAGAGAATATAGGCAGTAGGTTAGAAACCCCTGCTCAAGATAAAAATATTATCGATATTGTAGCATTTAGTATACGTTTTACATAGGTTTCATTCTGGTGAATTCCGTATGATGAACACGTAATAAAAGGCTACGACGATGCATGATTCTGCGGAAGTCTGATGTATTACACGTATGTAAGTAATAACTCCGAATTACTAAGAGAATAATCAACGTTTGAGCCTGTAGCGCCTTGACGAATGCTACACAAGAAATTCGTAGCCCGGTAAGACAGAAGACGGCGGGATATAAAGATTGTCTTGAGAAAATAGCTATGTACAATAGCTATGTGAATATAGCTTGAGGACAATGGGAGAGAGTGGTGAAGCAATGAGTAACACCACGTAGGAACGCAACAGCCGGCAACGCGCGGACAAGATGGCGAACCCGGTTCAAAATTGCAGTCCAGTATATATAGGCTTGGGATGGGTGCAAAGTAAAACAAAATGTGCACAAGTCTGAGTGTGATGTTTGATGGGGTAAAATGTCATGGTCACTACACAGGCCTCCCCCTAGAAGGCCGAGGGACGAGGACTTCGATCGCTGTTGGCTTGCAAATGTATAAAGGCAGAATCACAGGAGTTCGGTTGTATTTGGATTATTTAATCTTCTTGTGGATTGGAATGCATCATCGGTGGGCCGTCCCAGCGGGCACACCGGACTACAAAAAAAACTGGATAATCCAGAAAAAGGGCCGGTAGGACCTTTCACCGCTGCTGAAGGACGGTGCGCTTGGGAGAGGTCACTCCCCCCACCGCATTCCAATCCACTGCCACAACGAAGCTGAAATCCTGTTCGTACCGGCGAGTCGTGGGGGGACCAAAAACAACGAGCCAAGCACACGAGCAGCCAAAGCCAGGAAGGCGAGCCAGACAAACGACCTGTGCGAGCCAAGTTGAGCCAAGCAGACCACGATCCAAAGGCCAACGTGGGCGGGCGAGACGACAAAGCGTTGGGGATAGACCAAGGCATCCAAACGACCAAAACAATTGAGAAACAGCCAAGCATTGCACGGACGGACCCAAACGTGCCAGCCTCATGACTTTATCTGATAGATGGGGGAAAAATCGGAGAGACAGATTCAGATATTTACGGAAAAGCATAATACAAACAACGAGAGAAAAAAATGATTCATGAGGTGTAGATGAATTCGACCAAATCGGAGAAACGAACAGGTTTACGAACTCTTCTACCGTGACTGGTATTAGTTTGAGGCGAATCGGGTGCCTGGGATTGTGGTGGAGCTGTAAAGCTGGGCGTCGTTACAGATGGCTCTGCAGATTGCGTTAAGGTCGATGACGAGTCGAGGGCATAAACTAAAGGTTTGTGGTCAGTAAAGACGGTAAAGCTTCCGCCCTCTAGAAAAGGACGAAAATGACGGATGATACCAAGTTCGAGCATGTGCTCGAATTCCGCCTTAGCTGCCTTAAGCTTATCAGGAGCTAGACGTCGTGGCCGTGCAGAAACCGGTGGGCCACGGGTTCGTATATGGTGCGTAACGCTAGATGCGACCGGAAGAGTAGCGTCAGCTGAGCGGACGAGCTGCAGAAACTATCTGAAGAGATCTAAAAATTCCTTATCAGCTTCAGGCTGAATGTAAATGGGAGTGACAGAAACACAAGGTGTGCGAACTTCACATGTGAAAAGCTGGGACTTTTGGTCAACGAGTTTGCGATGACGCGCATCGACGAGAAGATCGAAGTGTTGAAGGAAGTCGATACCCAATATAGCAAATGGAACGACAGCGATGGTGAAAATCCATCGAAAGGGACGTCGTAGTCCCAGGTCGATGGTAAGGGAGCGTTGACCGAAGACTCGAATAGCAGTGCCGTTAGCGGCACTCAAGTTAGTTGTCTGTGGCTTAGTCGCGTCGCCTGGAACCGGTGGGATCACGCTAACTTCCGCCCCGGTATCAACCAGGAACATGACCCCAGTGTTCCTATCAACGATTTTGAATAGGCGACTTGGACGACTTCGGCCGACGGCGTTCGTCGCCAACACATGTCGGCCTGTCCTTTTTCTCGTTACGGGAAATGAGCATGGTTTTATACAATTTCTAGCGGAACTTCCAAAACGTGCATGATAACGGCAAATTGGGCGTCGTGTTCGTCTTCCAGATGGGTTGGGGGAACGGGATGGAGAATCCCGTTGGTGCCGATGTAACTTTAAGCTTTGAACTTCTTGCCGTAGCGCGGCTATCTCTGTTAAGAGCTCACCAGTGGAAGGTGGAGTAGTGGTGTCGATGGTTTGGACCGAAGGGTCAACAGTGAAATCTACGTCAGGTGAGCGAAGAGAACTAGACGACGGACACGGTGGTCCGATGAAACGATCCATCATATCATCAGCAATATCTGCAACTTCTGACAAAGGCTGTGATTTCACAAGCGATAGCATAGCTTGTACGTTTTCAGGCAAATGCTGAAGCCATAACTCTCGAAGCAGCGACTCGTCCATATGCAGTCCTTGAAGAAGACCACGCATCTCTAGCAATAGCGCGGATGGCTTACTAGAACCTAGCTGTAGACCAGTAAAAAGTTTATGCAAGCGGGACTTCTCGGAGGGAGTAACACGCTTTATTACAGCGTTCTTGAGCAAAGTATAACGGTCGGGAGAACGACATGTAATAATAAGATCGCGTAGCGCCATAGTAATATCAGTTGGAAGGCGTGTGAGCAAGTGGTTAAACTTTGCAGAATCGCTAGTGACATGCTTAGAAGTAAACTCAGCTTCTAAAATCATGAACCATAAAACGGGATCTTTTTCAATAAATGGTGGAACCACAAGAGATACCGCTTGCACCGACTGTGAATCTTCACACTTTTTAGAAACTGACGTCATGGCTTGCATGGAAAAAACCAAAAAAATGGAACGAACTCACCGGAATGCGATTGGGGTCACCAATTATGTAGCGCCTTGACGAATGCTACACAAGAAATTCGTAGCCCGGTAAGACAGAAGACGGCGGGATATAAAGATTGTCTTGAGAAAATAGCTATGTACAATAGCTATGTGAATATAGCTTGAGGACAATGGGAGAGTGGTGAAGCAATGAGTAACACCACGTAGGAACGCAACAGCCGGCAACGCGCGGACAAGATGGCGAACCCGGTTCAAAATTGCAGTCCAGTATATATAGGCTTGGGATGGGTGCAAAGTAAAACAAAATGTGCCGAAAGTCTGAGTGTGATGTTTGATGGGGTAAAATGTCATGGTCACTACAAGCCTGACGTTCAAAACTTTTTATACACGATCTGGAAAATTACATGCAATAAGCCGCACCTAATTCATTCTTAGATTAAATCCGTTACACATCAAAAGAAACACGTTATTCGCAGTTATAAGTCGCCCGTTACGGCTCTCCTTGAGATTTCTGATCTTGCACTCGGGACATGAGCCTTGGTACTTTTGTTCTACGCTACTTAATTCTTTTTAGCCACCCAAACATCTAAAAGGAAATCCGCAGACGAAGTCATGGATGCACCCCCAGAGAAAGTTATTCCTAAACCTGTGCTTGATCCATCGTCGAAAAAGCCTTCAATCGTTCCTATCAAATTGAGTCTACCTGGTCAGGTTTGGTTGCGAAAAGACTCAACCAAATACCCCTCAGACTAAAAAATCGGATGCTGCAAAAGTACCTAGTACCAAGCTTCAAGCGGTTTTCAATTCAGATGACGAGGTAGGTTTTTCCCGTTTTTTCGTAATTCTTCTGCAGACAGAAGATGAGGAAATACCGGAGGAGGCACGTATTAGGATGAGAAACAAAGGAAGGTTAGTGCAGCCAATTTTAATTGCTGTTCCTAATCACTATGGAGGAAGTAATGTAAAGTTACCACTTCATGAGTTTGTGCAGAACGAGTTAGTTCAAGTGGGACGGGAACAGTAGGATGAGTCCCCTTGAATGCACCTTCGTGGCGCGTCGATGATCTAGGGTCTCATTCGTCTGCGATAATTAATCCAGAAGAGTCAGATCAGCGCGCGCGGACAACCACGGTCAACCAATTCATATCCACGCGACCTGCATTAGCAGTCCCCGCCGCACCGGCTACGTGAAATGAGAAACAGAAGTACGAAAGTAATAAGAGCGTTAAGAACCAAAAGTAATAGATTTAATAGGACGAATAAGCTAAAATGTGTGGGGGAATGTTAAGAATTAGATCAAGAGCGTCAAGTCGAACTCTTTCAATGTTGGTACCAATACCACGTTCTCGGGCAGTGCATTCCATGAATCTACCTCGGCGTGATAAACGAAAGTCCACCCGGACACCATGCGATCGAGGTTTGTGTAGTTTCCTCGAGTGATCTCAGAGCGATGGAAGCCGAGCCGGTTGGAAAAGCCCAGGTAAATCAGGTCCGATTTTACCGATGAGTATGCGATAGGTCAAGAACTGGTCTTCTCGATGGCGACGATAATGCATTGAGAACATTCCCAGCTCAAGTAGTCTTTCTGCGTTAGAAAGGTTCCGTAGTCCATGAATCATTTTGGTTCCAACTCCCAACACTTTCCACTGACATCCTGTCCCTGACTAAGCAAGGTGGACAAGCCTGGATGCGAGATTCCAAGTGTAGACTGACAAAGACTGAGAATAATTAAACAAACATATCTGTGATGGTCCCGAATGCCCTGCGGATCACCCACAACATTCTGAAACCCATGCACCTAGCTTTCTTCCAATTCTCACTGGATTTAAGTTCTGAAGACAACGTGACCCCTAGGTCTACCAGTTGGGAAACATGGCGTAATTCATTACCGCCAAGCAGAACGCATTTGGGGGCCATTTGGCCCTAATCGTAAAACGGAACACTGCATAATTTATGGGCAACTGCCACAGAGCAGCCCAGTCCCAAAGTTTATCGAGGGTCTGGGGGCCATGGAGGTCGGACATTGTGCCTTGCTTTTCGGTGGTCCTGCTTCGGGGTCTTACGGCAAGGTCATGTAGTCTGTAGGTTCCAAGTGTCGCAGATTGAGACTCAGTAGTGGTGTTGAGCACAGGTATCCAGCCTCTCGATTGTGGGGATACGGCTACCTGGAAGGAGGGCATTCGTGTGCAGGTAAACGGCCGATGTTGGCGATGTTATTGCTTTGCTAGTGTGGGCATAGACGTGGCAGTACGGGGACATAAAGGTGTCAAATGGGGACAGTTCGGTAAAGTTAAGAGCTGAATAAGAGATGCCCCGAGCTAGTGTGTCAAAAGTAGTGACCCTACCAGCTAGTTTGGCGAATGGCCCATATCTTTCAACATGAAATGCCAGCGAAACAAGAGGCAATCATCTAGACACTGTTTGAAGACCTGTATTATGTGATGAGACAACAGTTTTAGGCAGGGCGTTCCAGACGAAGGCGATACGCACACTAAAGCTGGTTCTTCGGCACTGAAGCCAACTATTGCGAGTTGTGAGTTTGAGTGAGTGCCTACTTGGAGCGCGAACGAGCAAGCCGCTATTAGGGTGCCTGTTGTTAGTCAGGATAGAATAGACTAGGATGAGATCACCAAGAAACCTACGATATTTCAGTGGGAAGAGTTTAAGGACCGCAAGGCGCTCTACGTACGTGAGGGAGGATAGTCCCTCCACTCTCTTAGTGTCTGCGCTGGACGGTTTCCAGCAGAGTCTCGTCCTTCAGGTACAGCTACTGAACCAGTATATTGTACTCCAACAGCAAGCGTAGGTAAATGATGTTAAGACAGACAAATGTTTCGCTAGAGAATGATCCTAATGCACACCCAAGAAGGACCAGGCGCACGCTGGTCTTTCTCGCCAATGTGGCCACTTTAGCGCTCGGGCTCAAGTCGGCGGATATAATAGTGCTTAAGTCGCGTTCCTGGGATGTGGCGTTAAGACGCACGCCACCTATAGTATACGGAGTGCCCGCGCCTTGTCCGTTGTGCATGACGTTGCACTTGATGGTGTTGAACGGGAGCAAGTTTTCCGAGGCCCAGGAGCAGGCAGCATCGATGTCGCTGAAGGCGTGTCTGATTGCTTGGCTTGAGGATAGGTCGCCATATCTTAGCATCGTCCGCATAAAGCAGTATATGACTGCTAATGGAAGATGGTAAATCATTAATGGACAAAGTGAACTGCTGGAGCCCGAGGATAAATCGTTGGGGCACTGCGGTCGGCGCAGCCAAAGCGATGGAGAGTGAGCCATTTCCACGAACTTAGTAGGTGCCCCCAGATAGGTAGGTATTTAGCAGGAGATAGTTTGCTGGTCAATCCCCAAACTCGGTAGTTTACTTAAGAGGACTGCATGATTAACCCGGTCAAATGCTCTTGCAAAATCTATGTAAATCACATCAATCGGAGTATGACTGCCTCTACTGTCCAGAAATCAAGGGCTGCGAAAAGATTAGTGGTGCACGAGTGCGCCCTGCGGAATCCGTGCTGTTCCTGGGCTATTAGGGACTGGCTTTTTAGTTGATAGCGCAGAACATCGTCTATGATGCTCTCTGTTTGGAAGCCGTGGGAAGCAGCGGTATCGGGCGGTAATTAGTAGCATTTTTACTGTCACCACCCTTGATTATCGGTGTTAGGACCCCTTGCTACCAAGTGTTCGGACATTCTGCGCTGGTGTGTGTGCGGCTGGACAGTGAGGCAAGCGGTTCGGCCAGTAAGGCAGGTCACTCACGCAGAAAAATGGGCGGGATCCCACCCAAGCCCGGCAGTTTATCTGTCCTTAATTTTGCTAATTTTTCCAGAACCATCTCTGGTGTAAATTGTACCGGATGTCTGGCAGCGCTGAGAGTGAAATAAGTATCCACTATTGTACTGCGTGTCGACATGCTTAAAACGGACTCGTACTGAGCCTTCATCTCAGAACACACTGTATTCTATGATCATGCATAGTCGTCGCTACTTATGTAGTATTTTCTCGAAGGACCGCAAGCACTTCCGGCCGATCCGCACCGCCGGTCCCAGGAAACCAGGCGTCAGTGAGATAATCAGAGATAGCGCGAGTGCACTGATACAAAATAAACAGCGCCCTATGGCTTGTTGGGCGGAACACTTTTAGGATCAGTCCAGCTGACCCCCTGTTCCCGGACCTCTTCCTACTCATGTGATTCAGGACGAGCCATGGACGGTTAGTTTAGAGCCTCCATCAGAGGCAGAGGTCCGAAACGCGATCACAGCCCTCAATCGTTTTAGTGCCGCTGTACCGGATTCCCTCCCACCTGCACTATTTAGCGATGAATGTAAGGTCCTCTGCAAAGCACTGACCTCCCTATTCGAATGTATCTAGAAGGAAGTGTCCTGGGTAATTGGAGCGAATCGATCATAGTGGCAATATACAAGAAGAGCAGTCGCACAGACTGTTCTACCCACAGGGGTATTAGCCTAACGCCAGTTGTGACAAAATAACTGGACTTGATTCCCGTTCGTCGCCTCACTGTGGAACAGGAATCTCAGATTAGGGAAGAGCAGGCAGGTTTCCGCCCAGGACGTGGCTGTATAGACCATATATTCACTTTGCGGCAGGTGCTAGAGCAGCGCCACGCCTACCACAGACCGACAATAGCTGGGTTCCTCGATTTCAAGAGTGCATTCAATTCAGTCGATCGATGCCTTCTGTTCGAAATACTTGCGCGGAAAGGTGTTCCCACGAAATATGTGCTCTATACTCGAAAAATACAGGCTGTATCAGGGTCTACTGTGGCCTGTCGGATAGCTTTCTGACCACATGTGACGTCCGATTTCCCCAATTTTGTGCAATTTCGTCGTGGATCTGGAGTGTTCCCTTGCGGAATCTCACGATGTAGGCGTTTAGGTTCTATCTGGTGAAAGATTAGTTGACTTGATTATGCGGACGATATCGTCTTGCTTTTCGACGATGTTATGACGGCACAATCAACCCTGAATAGCCTATCTAGAGTAATCCCATGATTTGGTATGTACTTCACACCTTCAAAATGCAAAGTGTTGCTGCAGGACCACCAGACACTTTATGACCCCTTGACCCTTGCTAACAAGAAACTCGGTGGTTGATCAATTCACTTATTTCGGCAGCTGCATCAGCAACAATGGGCGCACAGAAACTGACGTGAGCTCACGCATTGCAAAGGCCAGAGCTGCCTTCCTGGACCTGCGGCATCTTTGGCGACAGAAGGGAGTTTCCCTCCGTCTGAAAGGTCCTGTATACAAGATCACAGTGAGGGCCGTTCTGCTGTATAGTAGTGAGACTTGGCCCCTTCGGTCTGAAGATCTGAGGCGCCTACAAGTTTTTAATCATCGTTCTCTGCGTTGCTGGTGTCGGATGGCATCAACATGTCCGCAACGAATATGTGCGTAGGCGAGTACTAGGTGGTGATGATCATGCTAGCTCTGTAGAACAACAGATAGCACTGAATAAGTTGCGTTGGCTCGAGCACGTGCTACGTGTGCCTGGTTACCGCTTACCTAGGAGGGCCTTGTTTAGTCTGCCAGGCGTAGGGTGGCGCAAGGCTCGAGGTGGACAAAAGTTGACCTGGTAGCCAGAAATGAAGTCACTGATGACCAAACTTGGTGCCGTTGGTCCGTCTCGGCCTCCGGGTTGGAGTCCACGTGACTCGCCTTGTGCTTGACTCGCAACCGACACCAGTGGCGCGTCTGTTGCCGTCTCCTAATCGGATCGCCTGTTTAAAGTTTGTTTGGTGCTGAGTTATCTGCGGGGTAGTGACTGATTATGACGCGTCGCAGTGAAAGCCGCAAGGAAGCTGTCTCGCCAATGCCGCCTTATCTTTGCACGATAGCCGTCTGTTTGTGATGGCATATTGTCTACACAAGGTGTAGGCGCCTTG